ATAAAATTGGCTTCTCTTGGTCCTTTTTCCTTTTATTAAATTGTAGATTGACACAATGACTTTATTTTATTTATTTATTTTTATGTGGTGCTGAGGTTTGAACCCAGTGCCTCACATATGCTACCACTGTGCTACAACGCCAGGCACCTCTTCTTGATCTTTGAGGAATTTCTAGAAATCATCTTGCTGTAAAACTTCACAAGGAGGGTACAGTACACGTTTCTCAGATTTACTGAGAGCCCCTATGGTGTTCAGCACTCATTGGGAAGAAACTGGACAAGATGAACATACCATATATTCTTTATTTGACTATGGCAGGGGTGTGGCTCAAAGGAATTTACTCCCATTGAGCATATTTGAAGGGCAAGGGCAAAGGAAAATATGCCGGATGCACTCAATTCACATCAGGGATTTTAAGCAAGATGCCTTTTCCAAAGAAGTCAAGATTCTCCCCTTCCGAATACTGAACTGCAAGAATCTCTGAGCTCAGCAGAGACTGGCATCCCAGACCAAAGGCCCACCCTGGCCCTGGCCCAGTGAAGCCATTCAGGGACATGGTTGCTGGTGTAGCTGACAGGAAGCCCTTTGGTGTCTTAGTGACCCCTGGGTGCAAACCCCAGGAGGTGGTTGGGGGAGAGAAAGAAGGTGGGGAGAGCAGCTGTTTATAGTCAGGGCGACAGTTCTGCCTGCAGCGGAGATAGATCCTCTCTCAGAGGGCTTGTCGTCTCTGAGGGACAGGGACCAGAACAAGTTGGCAAGAACACACAGTTCCTAAGACTAATCGGAGAAGCAGACACTCCCCAGGAAAACGAGAAGCTTCTTCCACTGTCCTGTCCTCCTCTCTGCAGACCAAGGCAAGGACACAGTTTATCTGTGTGGTTCTGTTTCATGTGGAGGCTGTTGGGGGCTTTCAAGAAACTTCCTAAGGGGAAAAGGGTAGGGAGCTATTTCTTTAAAAACCGACAGAAAACAAGGAAGTCTGTAAATGAGAGAAGGGCAAAAGGCAGGAAGAAAAGCAAACAGAAGGGTGACAGGGTTTCTGGCTTTGGGAACTGCTGCAGGCTCACAGTCATGTTTTAAGGTGAACAGTTGCCTTTAAGTAAAGATCCCACAGTCTACAGAGAAAGGATGGAAAGGGTGAACGGAGATGAACAGAGCAGGAGAGGCACCACTCTCTACGGTGGGCCAGGGCTGAAGCCCAAGCCCTCTCTTTGTGCTAAAAGTAGCCCTTTGCTACAATTTTGGATATTATTGGGGGGTGGAGGGGAGCAGATACTGGGGATTGAACTCAGAAGCACTCAACAACTGGGCCACATCCCCAGCCCATACCCCCAGCCCTATTTTGTATTTTATTTAGGGACAGGGTCTCATTGGGTGGCTTAGTGCCTCCCTTTTGCTGAGGCTGGCTTTAAACTCCCAATCCTCCTGCCTCAGCCTCTCGAGCCACTGGGATTTTAATCCTGTAGGCCTGCGCCACTGCACCTGGCTAATTTGGATTTTGAATGTCCTCCAAAGGCCCATGGGTTGAAGGCTTGGTGACCAGCCTGTGTCAGGGACAACTGGGAGGTGGTGAGACCTTTAGGAGGTGGAGCCTAGTAGAAAGAAGTTAGGTCTCTGGGACTGTGCCCTAGAAGGGGACACTAGAACCCTGCTTTCTCCTTTCTTTCTTTTGCTTCCTGGCTGCCATGAGGAGAACAAGCTTCATCCACCCCCACACTCCCACCATGAGGCCACCACAGACCCAGCAACACGTCAAAGCAGCAGGGCCATGTGAACAGGGACTGAAACCTCTGAAACCATGAGCCAAAATAAGCCTTCCCTCCTTTTAAGTTGATTATTTCAGGTGTTTGTTACACTTATAGAAAACCGACACACCCTTCATCAAGACCTAATCATTTCCAACTATGCAAAAGTGTGTGCAGCTATGCAGGGGTTGGGGGTGTGGCTCAGTAGTAGAATGCTCACCTGGCACAGGCAAGGTCCTGGGTTCGATCCTCAGCACCTCATAAAAATATAATAAAGGTATTGTGTCCAACTACAACTAAAAAACAAAATATTTTTTTAAAAAAGTGTGTGGCACATGAAGCTCTTTAGAACAAATGGATTAATGCCATCTGCTAAAACATTATCATAATATATATTCAAATGTAGGGTGTCCTCCATGTGAATATCAATCCCTTGGTATATAGTGCCCTTACATAGTGGACATCCCACCCACCTGCATGCCGCAGTTCTTCATCAGCCTTCTGAATGTGGGCAGAGTAGAAATGACTGCTTCCCAGTCCCTTCAGGATATAACTGATATAGGAAAGAGTGGAATACAGCATCCTGAGATGGCTCACAACTGAGGGTGAAAGGCTTTCACTGTCTTTGAACTGTTGAAGACACAGCTTTGAATGACACGTTTCATTTTTCTTCAACCATGTGCCCTGCCCAATGTCACTGGGTTATGGTAAACCGTGTGTGTATGAGAGGCCCCATTCCATATCATACCAAACATATTAAAATGCATCCATATCTCACATAAAAATCTTTACTTCTTGCTCCAAAAGCATCTTGAAAGGATTTTTATAATTTTACTTTTGAAATGATGGGGATCCAAGTCACTCGTTTAATTAAGTATTGGTAATGATCTCTCATCCTTCATGCACACTTGAGAATCCTTTTCAAATGAGAAAATATATCCTACAAATTATTTTCAAGTGTTGCGATGATTTCTTGAATACTAAATTTAATAATAAAGTGACAATATGTTGCATTTTATACATGTTCCCTTAGGCAGTTAATCATGCCGGCACTGCAGTTTTCTTCATTTTGAAGCTCATGGTTGTTTTCAGGGTCTCTTATATGTGTGGGTTTGCAAATATAAAAGGCCCAAGGTGAGCAACTGAAAGCATTAGTTGAATAGTAAACAGCCCTGTTGCTGGAGGGGGTGTGCACAGCGGGGTAGGTGTGTATGTGGGGGCAAGGGAGTAGGATATGACCCTTGTCAGATGTTAGCTTATCTTTTACACAATAAAGTTTTGGGAACAACGCTGCATCCTATCCTCCAGTATCCCCACAACATTCTGCATATCCTGTACTTATTTGCAAAAGGTTCTACAAACTTATGTCTGAAAATTCCATCCCAGAATTCTCTGACAGATCCCATTTCCTCTGCCAATATCCAGTGTAGTTAATGATGCTCATTTGGAAAACCACAGACAGATCCATGCAGACCCAGCACACCAGCCTAGCATGCAGCTATTGACCGTTTCTCCAAAAGCTCAAAACAACGCTTCAAGGGTCAGAACAAGAAATGATGGTTCCCTTGCAACAGATTTTCTAGCTGGATTAAATAAGACAGTTGGGTTTATTTTCCTTCATGAAACCAAATGCGCAAATCCAATCCAAATGAAAGTGGCAAATTGACTTCAGATGATGTAAACTTTGGTTCAACTTAAAGTAAAATTACATCTATGGCAACTCAGATGATGGCCTTCAGGGTCTAATCCAGCACACCAGCTTAGACAAGGTTTCTGTGCAGTTCTGTCAAGATGGAAAATGTCCTTAGATAAGGGAGCTGATGGAGGTTCAACATTGGGTTTCTTGGAAGAAGCCACTGTTTCTCGTACTTTCTGGATAATAAAAATCACCTAAGGAGATAATTAAAAGTGCAAATTCCTAGACCTCTCTGTTGGAACATACTGAATTAGTAGAGGTTAGTTAGAGCTCAGGTCTATATTTATAACAAGTAGCATTTCTTATTTCTGGAGATTCTCCTTCCTATAGGAGTTATAAAGCAGAGAGTTAAGGCAAACTATAGTAGTCCCCCCTTATCAGGGGATATATTCCAGTACCTCAAGAGGATGCCTGAAATTTTGCATGGTACCAAACCCTGTTTATACAGTATAATGTGTTTTTTCCTATACACATACACCTATCATAAAGTTTAATTTGTAAGTTAATAAAAGATAACAATAACTAATAGTAAAATAGAATAATTCTATTAAGACTGAACAAAAAATTACAATAACATAGTACAATTATAGCAATCAAGCATCTCTTGTTCTTTGAGACTATTATTAAGTAAAATAAGGGTTACATCAACATAAGCACTGTGATACCCCAATAGTAGATCTGATAACAGAGACAGCTACGAAGTGACCTATGGGAAGTAGCATATATGGCATGGAAACACTAGACAAGGCAGGACAAATGGGAACAGCGTGAGATTTCATCATGCTACTCAGAACAATGCACAATTTAAAACTTATAAAGTTTATTTCTAGAATTTTCCACTTAATAATTTTGGACCAGGGTTCACCATAGGTAACTAACTGCAGATAAAGGGGGACTACTATTCATGCAATTAAATGATAATGATCTATGAAACAGTGCATATCTATTCATAAGTTTAGCAACTGGATTTTGATGCACATTTTACATGATATTTAAGAAATCCTTAGAGGATATAGCTGATTGAGGTCTAGACTTAAACTGACATTGAACATGGGTGCAGTCATGAGAGTCTATCATGTGAGAATATGGACTTTACCATCAAAACTGCACCTTGGCATCTGCCATAAATGTGACCTGCGCAGCCCTGTATCTTATGTATCTTACTGTATTGGAAATCTGACAGCCTGGTTTAAAGAAAGTTCAGTTCTTTATTATTTTAGGCCAGTCGTTTATCCTCCCTTAGCTACCACATCTAAGAAGATGGACTCAACAATGCCTACTGGTTGGAGTTGCTTTTCATTCTTTTCTGAGTCCCCGCAGCAGAATAAATGGAGCTTGGGCTTCTTGATAGCTTCAAAGCCTGCCTCCATCTTTCACTAATTCCATGGACCCAGGTACATCTCTGCATTTCAGTGAGCTTCAATGTCCTGAAGGTAGAAATGTATTATTTTGATACAAAGTCAGCACTTTGGTTAATATGGCTTTAACAATGGGTTAAGGCCCAGGTCTGTATTTAGAACAAGTAGCATTTCTTATTTCTGGAGATTCTTCTTCCTAGGACTCTTCAGGACTTCAAAGAAAAGTGATCTACCCCTTGGTGACAGCCTGCAAGGAAATGGGCTGACTGAAGGGCTGTATTCGAGAAATGGCTGTGTGGGACCAGGACCTGACCACCACTCACTCCTCATCAGCCACACAGACTGAGCATGATTGCTTCCTGGGAAGGTACTGTGTGGGAGCTGAAAGGGTTCTGATCTTAGGGGCCCCAGCAAAGGGCACCCATAGCTGAGCTTGGTATCAAGGGAAAAAATTTGTCCTTGCTTGAAGAAACTCTCCCCAATTTTACCTCCCATCCCCTCCAAAGTTTTGCAATTTCCAGACAAGCCACACTTTTTGCCCCATACCACTTGGTGACATAGCTTCCCTTATTCCAGCCAGTGGACTCTTTCTTGTGTTTTAGTCTCAGCTTCTGGAAGCTTCTCCAGAGCCCCAGTGCTATAGACTCTAGTGCCCCCCAAATTCACTTGTTAAACCCGAAATCCCAATGTGATTAGGCCATAAAGACAGAGCCCTTGTGAATGGGATTACTGCCTTTATAAAAGAGAACCCAGAAAGCTGCCTCCCCTTCGGCCATATGAGGTCACAGAAGAAAGATGGCCATCTGTGAGTCAGGAAGCAAGCCCTTGAATCTGCAGGTACCTTGACCTTGACCTTCCCAGTCTCTAGAAGGGTAAGAAAGAAATTCACACTATAGTACTGACTGGACCAAGATGCCCAGAATAGGAGAAGACCCCTCCTAAGGTTCCCTGAGTAAACATCATCAACCTTACACAGGTGACCCTTTCAGTTCTACTGCAGCACCACAGAGCATCCCTGCCATAACTTCTAGAAGGACCCTGGGCATCTCTAGACCTTCAGGAAGAGATAGGCTGTGTCTTTCTCTAAATGTCAATTTCTAGTGCAGGGCCTAGCCCTGAACAGGGGCTCAAGGCAGGTCTACTGATGGAACAAAGATCTCTGGGCCATATTCCAATGGGTCAAGAGGTTGATTGGAAAACCCAGGTGGGGACATTCTAACCTATAAAGCCCATCTTCTTTGAGAACCACTGCAGGTGGCAAAAGATGCCATTGAGGGAAGTGTGCTATGTCTGGAACAGAAAAAAGGCTTGAGGACCCCTAACCTAACTGAGATGAAAAGGAAGGAGTCTCCTCTGACCAGAGCAGGTCATTAATGACACAAGCACAGGACCTTGAGTGCTGAATAGAAGTCCCTGGGAACAGGAGTCTGCACAAAGGTACGGGCCTCTGGAGGGAAGCTACAGTGCCCCTTCAGACAACCCCATGGCCTGAATGATTCCACTACCTGGTTGTCCTGGGGGAGCATGATGGCCACTGTACTAGAATGCAGAGGTAGGCATTCAAAGGACATACAGTGTCATATTTCTGTCATTTTGGCCTGTCTTGCAGGACTTCTATTTACTGAAAAAGATCACTCAAGAAGATGGATTTCAAAGATGAAAGTGAGTCTAGGATTAAATGCAGCTGGAGGAGACAATCTATCTGCCTACAACTAGAAGTGCCTCCTCCCCCTGAGGCCCCTTAGTCTTCCATCTTCCCTATCTTGTGAAACAAAACATAGTTTATTTCAGTGAAATCTCTATAGGCTTGCAATAAACTCTGTCTATATCTTTGCTCTAATTCAATTTGTTTCTATCCCTGGAAACCAAAATGTCTGGATTTAAGCAACTATTATCAGTAGACTACCGACTATAAAACTAAGGAACCACAAGATTAAATAGTTTGTCTCATGCCGTAAGCTGATAAGAGGCTGGGTGGGGAATCAGGCCCTGGTTTGCTGGATCCCATTCTCTGTACACTGAATAGTGCCAAGACATTCTTCAGAGACTCTAAGAACAGTTCTGGATGCATTTTGCATTTAAAGAAAATTTGTTTGTAACAAGTGTGCTAGATTGGAACAGTGAAGTTATAGGAAATACTTTCTACAAAGATCAGAACTATCACTCTCTTCTGACAGTAATTATAATAATCATAGCAGCTCAGACTTATTAAGAATTTACTATGTTCCTACTACTATACCAAACTCTTTGAGTATATTTTATCACATTTATTTTCCCTCTTTTTTAGTTGGGAACATTCAGTCTCCGAGAGGTTACATGACTAGTCTAAGATCTCAGAGCCAGTGAGAGAAAATTCTGTGGATCAAAGAGCTCTTTCTATGACCTCTTAAGACCTTGTTCTACAGAAACAATTGCTAGAGCACAGACATAACTAATCTGAATCCTTACGGAGGCAGTGGTCACCTTGTTGTAGCCATGATAACATTGCATAATGGAGAGGGGGAGCGCCCCAGCAAAGGTGAGGATGTGGAACCTGTCAAGTTTTCACGGGAAGTCAGAAAGCCAAGCTGTGAGATGGGCTCTTAGTGAAAGCTAAGATGATAACTGCGCACATGGTCTCTGAGGTTCCCCTCCCTCCATCGTGGCGCCAGCACCCCTGTGATTCATGCTTCAGAGTCACTCAGAGCTTGCAGGCACCAACTCTTCAGTAGCAAAGAAAATGGATGGACTGCCTGGGGATGACTTCCCTGCACGCACCACATTTCCTTAAAAGGCCTCCAGTGTATATACAGTTCTGACATGAGGGCAAAGCTAAATCACAGCTGGGCCTCTCTTCCCCCTTATATGGTCAAGTATGACAATGGCATCCTCCCTTCTGATTTATGAAGCAAAGGAGTAGAGGAATGTTGATCAGGAGTTGCGGGGATGTTTCACCAGGGAGAAGATATAAAGCTCATCAAGCTGGCAAACGACTTGCAAGACCAACTGGAACAGAATGCGAACTTGCTGAGGTTTTTCCTTTAGTTTTTCCTTTTTAACTCTGAAGAATAAACACTTTCATTCCTCTCTCAAATATCAACATTTCATGAAGCCAAAGAATATGCAGAGCTTTCCCCTAAGTATTGGAGAAAGTAAAAAATAAAGCAAAATTTTAAAAATTTTGGTTTTATCCTTCATAAATTTACCCCTCTTCTGCCTTGCTTTGTTTCCCCCATTAAACAGAAATGTGATATACACACACAGAGAGATATACAGAGACATGCAAACACACACACAAACACATAGAGAAAGACACACATGCGCATACAGACACACACATACAACAGACCCACAAAGACAGAGACTCACATGGATACACAGAGACTCACGTAGCACAGACACAGCCAACGAAGCATCTGAAAAGAAGGGACAATTTCACTGTGAACAGAACACAGAAATAGCCCAAAGAACCCAACCACTAAAAGAATTCTTATCTTTAGAGGGCCTTGGCCATGTGCTTAGAGATTAATTGAACACATTTTCCCATCCAATCTCTGTTCTAAGACTGGAACCAATAAGGACAAGAGGGTGTAACAATGAAAATGCATGGGAAAGTGCTTTGTACATTGCAAACAACATAAAACCCATAGCTGTTTCAAGCACTGTGGTAATGTCCTTCTAGAATTGACAAATATACTCTTTATTTTAATACACTAACCGGTTTCTTGGATGAAAACAAATATAAATTATGTCATTATTTAAACTATCTTCATCCTTGTGATAATTCACTTTCATTTGGTCAGAACTCTGAGTTTTTTTGAAGTTAATGCTGGGGCAAATACCAAACTCTTCTATCCTGCCTCAAAAAGCCAAGAAACCCTAGGGTGACCACTCCACATTGACAAGCCAGCAATCAGAGAAAGATGCAGGCACTGTATACACATAACACATATTCCTTTATCATTTACAAATGACCATATGCAAGGGGCATCTTGATGTGAAACTGCTCATCACTGCACTTGTGATCCCCAAGGAGACCATATAGTACACATAGTAACACTCAAGAAAATAACACACCGACCTCCTCCCCTTCAGGGCAACTCCCCAAATGAAATGCACTGAATACAAACATTCAGCCTGGAGGTTCAACTTCTTAAAAGCAGAAATTTACTAAGTCAAATACTGCTAAACCCAAACACAGGTCTTTACCTGAAAACATTCTATTTCAGATACTCATACAATTAGAACAACAGACAAAGCTTTCAAAGCACTCATGGCAGACTCTACACACACACACACACACACACACACACACATACATACACACACACACACACCACACCAGCTTTATTAAATGGCTACATTTGAAGCAGAAAGAATCAGTGGGTATTTGGGGAGAATGCCCAATCCCTGGGTTGTCTTGAACCAACATGCAGGGAATGGAGCCATCTAGGTGTTCATATGAATCCTACATCCACACACACTCCAAGGGACTGAGGAGGGAGCTTTTGAAGGGTATGCCCAGCAGCTCAACTTTAAATACTGAGGGAGTTTTCCTACAGGGATTGGGAACCAAATACGTGGTATGCAGGTCTTCAGGCTTTAATACCTGAGTAAGAATTACCTGACAATATTGTTTAAAATGCGAATTATTGGACTCCAATCAGAATGACTAGATCAGAATCTCTGGGGTGGGCATTTGGAATCTGCATTTTTACAGGCTTTTCCACCTACCTAACTCTCATAAGATTCTTATATACTCTAACATTGAGGTCCAATACTGTAAGCATTTCCAAAAAGAATATTTCTCTCAAATTTTACAGAAAAAAAAGATTATCTTAGTCTGTTTTCTGTTGCTTTAACAAAATGACTAAAGCTGATACTTTAAAAAGAAAAGAGATGATTTAATCCCCCATTCTGGAAATTCAAGAGCATAGCACCAGCATCTGCTTGGTTCTGATGAGGACCTAAAAGGTGGATGGCATGACAATGGTGGGAGCATGTTGAAGAGCGGGGAGCAGAGCACCTAGAAAAGAGATTCAAGGGAGGTACCAGACTCCCTGTGATTCACCCTCATGGAAGCTCTTCTGGTGCCACAAGATTTGCATGGACCCCTTGTGAGGATGGTGCCCTCATGACTTAATTATCTTCTACTAGGTCTCACCTCTTAAAGGTTCTGCCACCTCAACACTGTCACGCTGTGGGCCAGATGTCTAGCACATGAACCTTCAGGGAATATGCTCAAACCATAGGAGGTTCAAGAACAGCCAGTCCCAACTTTTACATCGTTTGGTGGGAAATACAGAGAATATGGGCAGAGTAACTGATGTCCCCGGGGGCCTATTGCCAGTTTATGGCAGAGCCCCAAGGGAGTTCTCATCCAGGTCTAGTCTCTATATCATTACTGTTTCTGTTATAACACCCAACACCCTCCCTAGACTTTCCTGCACCCCACCCATAGCTATCTAACACCCTACAGGGCTACTGGTACAAAATGTTGAATAACCCTCCATGGTGGCATGGAAGTTACTGTTTCTGCCTGCCCAATACCCAGCCTCTACCTAAAGGACACAGACTTTTGTTTTACTTGTGTAGAACTTCTCCCTTGCCCACTGCCTGTCACTCAAGGTAATAATTTCTTCCCTGGCCAAAGAGTAGGCATGTGACTCAACCTATACTAGGCAATGCTGAATCTTGAGTGAAGTAAAAGTGGAGAAATGTATGAAGTTCCATCTGGTAGCTAATTCTCTGAAGAGATTGCCAATACACAACTCCTGTCACCATGTTTTTGTTTTGGTTGTTGTTATTTTCCTTTTTACTGGTGCTGTGCTGGGGATTGAACCCAGCACATGTTAGGGCAAGTGCTCTACCACTGAGATATATTCCCAGCTCCCTGTTATTTTGGAGACCAGCTTTTCATTGGTTGTCAAATTTACTCCTTATCCTTCCAATGCAATCCTTTAAATAACCTAAAATTGGTCTTCTTACTTACATCCCAACAACCCTACTTGACCCTGGCTTCATTACCTCATAACCTTAAATGTGCAAGTCTTTGATCCAATCTGATGGAAAGGGAAGTTAGGGTAAAATATCTCCCTTCTGGAAGTAGGGTGGGTGTTAAGGCCTTGCATTTGGATGGGCAGGGATGAGTGCCTTCAATACCATCACTCTGTTATTCCAAAGAACTCAGTATTTCTGTCTTTGATTCCCAAAACATAACATCCCCAAGCTAAAAGGCTTACGATACTATGTAGCTGAAAATAGAAACAGTCACAAGCTCACAACTGCAAAGTGATCCAAATGACTCTTCTAAGTAGTGGATGCAATCTCCTCAAGATCCAGTGCCAAGAAGCTGTTGGGTTCCGTCTCATTTGCACAAATAGATAGATTGTCCTCCTTGTCAGTCTGGGTTTTATCTTTAATTATGTCCCTCTCCCTGGGACAGCACCGTGGTCTCTGACATGCAGTGCATCTGCATGCAATTTCAACATAATGGGAGCAGGCCTCCGTTATTTTAAAGCCACAAGTGCCATTATGAGGTCTTTCTGCCAAAACCCATATTGCTCTTTTGTTACAAAGCTATACAAATATTTGTGTTTTCTGTTTAACTTGGCAGCATGGCAAGCTTTCAGAGTCTCTACTGCTTTTGCTTTGAAATGACTGCCTGTCTCTTGCTGGAGGTTATTCGCTATTTACTGTGTTTCTCCAAAATAAACTCTAATTTTTTGGAGGAGAATCCTAATCCTCTGTTGTTAAAGAGGTCCATCACTAATGGTTACCCAGAGAAATGGTACGCACATTGGCATTAAAAGGGAAGTTTGAAAATGTGTTTTTTGGGGCCCTGGGTTTGTGGCTCAGCAG